TTAAGAGTCTCATGCTTTATCGACTGAGCTAGCGGGGCTGATGAAAAGCTCTTTTAGGAGCTAGAAACCGTTTACAGTAATACCTTCCCTACCCGTGACAATGTTCTGCTAAATCCTGATTTCATCTTGTAACGCTGGACAGAATGTGGCCCAGGATATATGTCCAGTGCACGTGTTAGCAGTTACAAGGCAGCAAAATGCTTGATCCGTCCCTGGGTGGGCTTGAACCACCAACCTTTCAGTTAACAGCCGAACGCGCTAACCGATTGCGCCACAGAGACTTAGTGAAAGGTCACCTACAGTGGTAGAAACGCGGAACTTTGTCTCAAAAGGTCTGCTATACGAACGCTAATGTAAGTTTGCTGAGATAGAGAGAGAAAATAACAGAAACGCCCAACGTGGGGCTCGAACCCACGACCCTGACATTAAGAGTCTCATGCTCTACCGACTGAACTAGCCAGGCGGATGAGGAGTCCCCACTGGAACTAGACACTGTTAACAGTAATACCTTCCTTACCCGTGACAATGTTCTACTAAATCCTGATTTCATCTTGTAATGCTGGACAGAATGTGGCCCAGGATATATGCCCAGTGCACATGTTAGCAGTTGCAAGGCAGCAAAGTGCATAATTTGTCAGTGGGTGGGCTCGAATCACCAACCTTTGGGTCATTATATCTTGTTTAATACCCATTTTATTCATTTATACTATTCATTTTATTTATTTACTCATTTATATTAATATGCGAATATGTCTCAATAAATAATTAAAATTTTGTTAATTAGTTGAGTGCTATAGGTCTTACAAAAGCCTTTTATCTAAAAATAGCGTAAAAACTCTTAACTGTACATAAGCTCATTGATCTCTCTATTTTTCCTCCTAAAATAGGTCTCTGGTAATTCATCTTCATCGCCCAACTATTTTTTTTTTTCAATTATTACAATGCAGTCTTTTGGTATTGCTTTTTTCAACTCATGACATTGTCTTTGTAATTTTGCTTTAACAACTCTTTTATACCCATCCTCCACAATTACTTTTAATGGTACAAATCCTTTTATTACTTCATATAATACATCTTTAACTTGTCTTAATCCTCCGTCCCACCATTCCTTAAAATATAAAACATTTCCTTCACTTAAAATTGTTTAATTCAGTAAAAGTGGTTGTTCTAGAATCTGCGCCCTTGCTTTCGGTATAATCAACACATTTTCTAAAAATCCCCCTCATGATTCTAAGACCTCAACATAAAATTTTGGCAGACCTGCTATCATCTGTTTCTTCATCTTCATCAATAAAACATTACATCCCATATTAAAATGTCCACATTTCTTCAAATAATAATCCAACACACTTTTCCAAATCACACCCATTTTCCCTTCGCAAAACCTTTGAATAATCTTAATTGTTAATGTTTTCATTTTTAAAAAACTATCCAAAAGTCCCAGACCTCCTTCTTTTACCTCCCCAATCAAAGTATAATAAGCAATCTTGGCTCTTCCATTTCCCCACAAAAACTTTAAAACTACATCATTTATTTTTTCATAGTATACTTCAGGCAACGCAGTTACACTTAACACATACCAGACCTTTGACAACATTAAAGCATTTAAGATGAATACTTTCTCTTTTATCGTCAAATTTTAGCTTTCCAAAATCTCAGTCTTTTCTCAATTCCATTCAAAACTCTCTCCCAATTTAAAATATCTGCTTTATTAGAATCCATCCCCACCCAAATTCCGAACATTTTTGTATGTTCCTTTTCTTCTTTAAAGGGTATATGTTGTGTTATTTCTTTTACTCTTCCCACCCTCATGCATAAACTTTTTCCAACATTAACCGTAGCTCCTGATGCTTTACAATATCGCTCTAAAATCCCCAACGATGTAGTATCATCAGCGTATTGATACACAGCTTCTCTGTTGTCATTGTTTTCTATTTGTATCCCTTTAATGCTTCTATCTGATTTTATTGCCAATCCCAGTGGCTCAGCTTCCAGTGTGTATAATAAAGCAGTCAATGGACATCCTTGCCTTATTGATCTAGTTGGTTGAAGACATTCTGTTAAAAAAAATACATTTAATACAAGTTAAAATACCTGTATAAAAAAATTTGAATCCATTTTCTAAAATTTTCCCCAAAACCAAACTCCTTAAGAACTGCAAATAAAAAATCATGCTTTACCCTGTCAAAAGCCTTCTCCAGATCTAAACCTATTAAAACACCCCCTTTCTCTTTTTCTTGCATATAGTAGACAATTTAGCTTACCCAATTCACCTGTACCGCATGTTTTTTTCGATTGTGGGGAAAACCAGAGCACCCAGAGGAAACCCACGTGAACACTGGGAGAACATGCAAACTCCACACAGAAATGCCAACTGACCAGCGCACAGTACTGTGTGTGTGTGTGTGTGTGTGTGTGTGTGTGTGTGTGTGTATGTATACATATATTGCATAAACTTTTCTAATATATTTGTTTTTGTTTTATTATTAATTTAATTTGTATTTATTTACTTTTTTACGGAAAATACAAGTGTCATTACTATACGCAATTTTTTTCCTATATTTGTGTCTGCCTATTATTGTAATTGTATTACTTCTTCCTTGTTTATGCATGTAATGCCTACTTGGTTTGCATATTTTTTGAACATTTAATAAAAATAAATAAATTAATAAAAACATAAAAATTAGATGTAGTGTATAATCCCAAATCTTATTTTAAAAAAGTTGGTGGTATGGAGTTTCTTTTAAAGTGTGACTTTAAGATTCATAAACTCATATTAGGCTAAAAAAAAGTCTCCTCTTTCTCTTTTCTTCTGGAGAAAGTATTATTTGTTTTATTTCAGCTCGAATAAAAGCTGTTTTTTATTCTAAACTTTATACTTAAACCATTTTAAAGACAAAACCATTAGCCCCTTTAAGCTATTTTTTCCCCAATAGTCTACAGAACAAACCATCCTTATACAATAACTTGTCTAATTTAATGTCATCATGGCAAACATAAAATAAATCAGTTATTAGAGATTAGTTATTAAAACTATTATGTTTAAAAATGTGCCGAAAAAATCTCATCTCCATTATACAGAAATTTTTTTTTTTTTTACTTGTTCAAACTACTTATTTAAAATGTGCTGAAATAACACAATTATTGAGATTTCATTGGGACAACTTAATGTTCAGTCGACATACATTTTTTAAAAGTGTTAAGTTAACTTAATTTGTGTTGTGACAACATGAAAGAATTGTATGGAACTCTGCACAAATATGGTGATCGGTTCATAATAAGTTGAAGCAAATTTTCAGATTTTGCCTTACTTGGCTTAACCGTTCTTGGGTGGCTCGCCAATGTATAGATGACTCTAATACATCAAATAAGTAAGCTGACCAAAGTTCTTAAAGGGAGAAGACTTTCTGAAGACAATTAATTGTGCAGTTCATCAGCAGTGATGTTAACTTGTCCGTCTTCAAGTAACTTAAACCAAAGTACTGTCTGTGAGACACTAATTTATAACAAAGGATGAAACCCCCCTGGAGATTACCCAACTGCTTTGGTTGGGTCACATCTCTTGAGTTCCTGTAGGTTATTTGGTTCACACCTTACCAGAAGCAGATACTTGTTGCATATGAAACAAGCCAATACAATATATCAACATATAGAGTTATTTTGCCTTCTTGACCCCTGATCTACACTACAAAACAGCTGGCAAAATCTTCACCCCTCTTCAGTTGAGTTTAAATTTTCAGGTGTTCAAAGGGTTTCATTATCATTAACTTGATATGCATTCAAGAGTTCACACTTGTTTGGCATGCTGTCCCGGGAGAGACCTAAGCTCATAAGATCCTCAAGCCCTGGGCTCCCTCCCGTTAGCAGGACGAGAGGGGAGTGTGAGCTCAGGTAGATCGGCTAAAGGGAGATATAAGGCTTACTAAGAGCTCGACTATGGTGCCAATTTAATGTTCAGTTTACTTAGGTTGTGTGTTTTTGGACTGTGGGAGAAAACCAGGGGAAATCCACGCGGGCACAGGGAGAATGAGCAAACTCTGCACAAAAAGTCAACTGGTTAGCAGCGACTTTAACCTGCGATATTCTTACTGTGAGGCAACTGTGCTAACCACTGGCTAATCATTGGCTGCTGTGTTGCCCAATCTAGAAAGGGGGGGAAGTAAGGGTGGGAGAGGGATTCTTCAAGACAAGGATAACTGAGTTAAGCTACGGTCACACTGGGCTTTTCCTCCCTTAGACTTCCATTCATACGCACACGAATGCGTCAGACTAGAAACAGGGTCATGCGTCAAGTTTCACCGGTTGCTGAGGTGCAAAGTTCATGCTTGGTGAACTCTGACCTGCGAAATCGCATCACTTGACTGCGTGAGACCAATCGAGGATCAAAACATGACCTCTCTGGACAGAAATTTAAACCATGGAGCAATTGCTCACTTTTTTAATTTCTAAAAATCTTGTTTGATCCCGCCCCTTTCCACAGCGCCGTATGGCAGAATTTCACAATCTCAAAGTCCAGTGTGACCGCAGCTTTGTGTTCTGGTTATCTATAGTGAGTCAGGAATCATCTGATTGGTGAATCATGTTTTAGCTAATGCTGGACCAGCCGTTGACAATCATAAGCATGTGATCCTCTCGAAAGTAGTTTATAAATAATCTTCACTTGAATGAACAGACAAACTACATGAACAAGCTGCCGTTTTGAATATACCCGTGTTTGTGTGGACAAGGCCTCAATGTTGAGGACTCTGCTCTCCATTGTGAAGCTTCATGTGAGTGTTGAGGCTTCTTTTACTTTTAAAGCCCTTTCCACACTCACTGCATCTAAATCGATCCTCTCTTGAGTGAGTCTTCATGTGTTGCTTAATGGTGTCTTTCCGTGTGAGACTCTTTCCACACTGATCACATGTGAACACTATGGTTCCAGTGTGACCATTCATGTGGTTCTTGAGGCTAAATTTGGTTGTGAAGCTCTTTCCACACTGATCACATGTAAACGGCTTCTCTCCGGTGTGTGTTCTCATGTGGTGATTGAGTGTGTTTTTATGTGGGAAACTTTTACCACACTCTGTGCATGTGTAAGGTTTCTCTCCAGTGTGAATCCTCATGTGGATGTAAAGGTCTTGTTTTTTACCTAAACTCTTTCCACACTGTTCGCAGGTGTAAGGTTTCTCCCTAGTGTAAACTCTCATGTGAGCAATCAGGTTCAGCTTTTTACTGAAACTCTTTCTACACTGTTTACAGCTGAAAGGCTTCTTTTACCACACTCTGTGCATGTGTAAGGTTTCTCTCCAGTGTGAATTCTCATGTGCACATCCAAGTTTCTTGCATGGCGGAAGCTTTTTCCACACTGTTGGCATGTGTACGGCCTCTCTCCAGTGTGAATTCTCATGTGGGTTTTAAAGCTTTGTTTTTGACTAAAACTCTTTCCACACTGTTCGCAGGTGTAAGGTTTCTCCCCTGTGTGAACTCTCATGTGAACATCAAGGTTTGGCTTTTGACTGAAACTCTTTCCACACTGTTTACAGCTGAAAGGCTTCTCCCCAGTGTGAATTCTCATGTGTGCTGCAAAGTGTCCAGCATGATAAAAGCTTTTTTCACACTGTTGGCATGTGTATGGCTTCTCTCTAGTGTGAATTCTCATGTGAGCTTTAAAGCTTTGTTTTTGACCAAAACTCTTTCCACACTGTTCGCAGGTGAAAGGTTGCTCCCTAGTGTGAACTCTCATGTGAACATCAAGCTTTGACTTCTGACTGAAACTCTTACTACACTGTTTACAGCTGAAATTACACCCAGATTTGGATTTCCGAGGTCTTCCGTGTGATGAAGTCTTTTTAGTCAGTGTGGGTTTTTCATCAGTCATTATTTCTTGGGGTTTCTCAAACTGCTGTTTCTCATCTATTTCATTCTGTCCATGAGTCTCTTCTTTCAGCACCATCAGATCTAAAAAAAAAATTAGCTTTAGTATGAAGGCTCAAAGCGACAAGCAAGAAATGGATGTTTCACCCACAAATGAAAATGACCTTACCATTTACTCTCCGTCATGTAGTTTTAGACATTTCCTTTATTGTGGAACACAGTAAGCCAGTAGTTTTTTTTCTTTTTTTTATATCTTCTTTTGTGTTCAACAGGATTAAGAAACTCATAAAGGTTTAAAACCACACGAGGAAGAGTAAATGGTGAGGCTATTGTCATTTCTGCATCAACTATCCCTTTAAAAGTTTCCTACAATTACCCATTTTTTAAAAGATGTAAAATAATTCTTTGGTGTTCCCAGAATGTGTCTGAGGTTTCAGTTCAAAATCAGATCGTATACCTTGTAGAATATTTAATTTTGGGGGTCAGAGGAAAACCAAGCTCTTTTTGTGCCTGTGGCTTTAAAATGCAAATAACCAAATGCACTCGCTCTAGATTACTCGTGTTGTTTCATCGATTGAGATAAATTCTGTATGTTCATAGCAAGTATGCATAATTCACACTTAAATTTGCAAGTTTGAATTATTGTATAAAACTTATGCAAATGCTTAATACCACGTTTGCTTTAAACTGGAGTAATGAGGAGACGGCAAGATGACACGCTTTGCTACTTGTTTCCATTTATTTGTACTTTTGTTTTTGTTTTCTTGTCTTTGTGCATGTCCTGAGGCTTAGCTGAAGACCTACTTGGTGACATTGTATATACCTGACAAGATGCAGAAATGCCATCTAAAAAGGTTACTTGCGGTTTGTCCAATATACAAATATAAATATACAAAATAATAATGATAACCCAGGGTTTACGAATGTGAAATGTCTGTTAATGAACATCCAGGATTATTGTTTAACCCCAGGTATAGCATGAGCAGTGTGGAAGGTGACTACTGATAACCCAGAATTTATCCAGGGTTAGAATGACCCAGGGTTAACAATTTGAAGTGTGAAAAGCCCTAAGAATACTCCGCATCAGCTCTCAGGATAAACAGAGTATAATGACAAACAGCGACAATTGTCAATCATGTCATGATGACCTGGGGCCAGTTTCAGTAAGGAGGTTCAACCAACTCAAGAGTTTAAACTTGAACTCTGAGTTGATTTACAGAGAGATTAAATACTCAGAGTTTTCAATTTCAGAAAAACATTTGAGCTACAAAAGTCTTTTAGTCAAGAGCAGTGAGGGATTTTCTCCTTTTGTTGTTTGATTAATGCTAAAAACAGTCGGCAGCAGGAATATTGCGCACTGTCACTTTAAGAATAGTGCGGCTCTGATATGGTTTCTCTTTCAAGTGTCTTTTGATTCTCAACTTGTTTGTATATTATACTAACAAGGGTTAATATGACTAATCACTAAACACTACACAAATTTGCATGTACTTGATCATTAAAGCGCTCACATTAAGAAAATAGGAATGATGCGCGTCCCGTGCTGCAAAAGCTACATTACAGCACATGCTTTTAGTCATTTTCAAGTGGAACTGAGCTTTGCAGAGCAACAAGTGTGTACAACTGGAAAGGGAGCGGTATATGATGGAATAATCGTTTATCTCGATTAAGGAATTTTCATAATCATTAGAAGCCAAAATCGAAATTGAAACCAGATTTTCGATTAATTGCACAGCACTATCAAGTGGTAGAGGTTGATATGACATTTAGAATGTTAGCAGGACTAAAAAATCTTTTTAGAACGAGTAATAATCCTATTAATCTAGTTACAGTACATATTCGTCGAAGGTCATTGAATTTAAGTAAATTATTCATTAAGAAAGTACAAGCCATTCTGCTACGTGACTTTGTTGTTTGTGTTACTGAAATGTAGGCAATAGCTATGATTCCATCCAAAAATGCAAATTAAATTTATGCGCAAAACTGGGATGTCACATAAAAGATGTGCGAATAAAGCAGCGTTTCCATCCAATGAATCAAAGAGAACAAAATCGTCACTTCCTGATTAACAGGCCCCAAATATTAACAGTAAAAACAGAATTTCCTGCAGTAGAAGAAACTACATGAATCTTTTATTTATTTAATAAATGACTTTCACCTCAGAGGACAATGCTGGCACAAAATGAACACGTGTTGGCGTTTGAAGCCATAAGACGCAGTGAACAGACGCTCTGGAGGTCATTAATAATACAATAACATGAATACTGAAACGGTTCAGGTGTTTTAGAATGACCAAAACAACATTTCAGATGTTTATAATGTTCTCAGCCTGCTGGTTTGTGCATTCACACACATTTTCATCATCATATAATCTCTTTTAACAAACCCTTTTAAACAAACCAATTTTTTATGGTCATAGCCTATCCAAAAAGCACATAAAAATATGTGGCTGAATATGTAAGGCTAGGTGAGAAATACTGCTTTATCTTTTAAAAAGGGGAGGAGACCGACAGAAAACTCTCTTTCAGAGACAGGCTCTCTTGCTCTCGAAACAAGTGTGTTCATGACTATACATACAAAGAAAAACAATAAAATTAGAAAATATTACTTTGCAACATCAAGCAGCATTAGGCATGGGCCAGTATAAGATTCCGACAGTATGATAACCTTGAATAAAATATATCACAGTTTCATGGTACTGTGATTACTCCTCTAAAATATATTCTTTTAAATGTCTCGGTAAAAAAAAAAAACACTTTTTTCTCTTTGAACACAAAACATTTTCTTTTGAGAAACTTTTGAAGTATTTTGGAGCAGTAAACATGTCAGGCTTAAATCACTCAATTGAATACTTGACTTCTGCTGTCTTCAATTGTTTCATAAACACAAATTTCTTTACAATTTAAAATGGCATCTTTGGTGATCTTTTCTGCTGGAGATACTGTTGTCCTGAAAAACTTAAAACAAAATGTAAAAAAAACAACTTACATATAGCGATGAACGGTACAGCAGAAAATATTGGCGGTTTTAAAACCTTGACTTTTTTCAAACTGCGATATACCTTGAAAACGGTTATCGTCCCATGCCTCAGCAGCACAACACTGTTTTTAGTATCTAAAATTATTTCTTTAATAAAAGTCAAGAGCAAAAAGATTCAAATGGCGGCGCCTGCTGGTACGTGAAGAATATGGTCAATACTGATGAACTTTACACTCAAACCTCGGCATTATATCAGCATGCTGTAATCCATTTCTAAAGCAGCAAAAGTCATTTTTTGGCTAGTTTGTTGGCCAGTTGTAGTCAGCCAATGTTAAACGTTATTGTTCCACAATAGTTTGTTCATTTAGTCTCACGTCGCCCTGCAGCAACATCATATAGTTTAGAATTATGTACAATGTTTTAAAATAATTTATTACTTTAGTGTCCATTTCATTGTTGGCATCCACGTTTTTTTTATACTTTAAACCAGAGTTTCTGCAGGTTTCACTAAGTTAAATGTAAGACTTTTAAAGACATTTTTAAGACCATTATGACAATTTTAGACTCATAAAGGGCTAAAGGCTAAGGGATTTTTCAAATAGCCCAGATGAAAAAGATTTTAATTTGCCCTATTTAAAAATTTTGATAATTTAATACATTTAATAATACAATAATAAATAAATAAAAAAATATATATTATAGATATTTCTTAGCAAAAGATTTTAAATTGTGTAATAACAAGCAAGCTTTACTTGTATCCACACACTTTTTTCCTAAATAAACTTTTTTTTTTAAATAATTAAAAATGAACAAATGTTTTAAAAACTATAACAAACTAAATCTACACAACAATCTGTCCTCGATGTCTTGAGCAGTAAATACATGGAACACGTTTAAACAAATGTTTTTGTAAGGAAAATTATTAAACCATTATGATAAATAGAGTTAAAATGACCTTTTTGAATGAAAAGTGGAAAGTTTTATTGAGATGGATTGTTGGTGATTGTATGGGTTTTGGCCAGATTGGGTAGCAAAACATGAACAAAGGAAAATGAAGACTTGTTTAAAAAGATTAAAGACCTACAACACAATATTTCAGTAAATTTGAGACTTTTTAAGGCCGAAAATTTAGATTTTGGAATTTAAGACATTTTAAGACCCCGCAGAAACCCTGTTTAAACACAATAGCCCTGATAATTAGTTATTATAATAATGATTTAATTCTAACTCTAATACTATCTTTGAGAACTAGTAACATCTACTAGAAACAAGTTAAAACCAATAAAGAGGTCGATGAAAAAAGTTAATTTGGATCAATGTGACATATGCAAATGGAAAGTACTAAGCCAACACTATCACCATAATAGCAGATATCTTCTATGAGAATACTGTAGGTCAAATATCTTCAGCTCAGTTTAAGTTTTTATTTATTTTATATAGCGCTGGTGCTCAAGGACACTTTACAAACAGTAGGAGAACAAGAAAAGCAATAGCCTTAAGAAGGTAGAGAAAATGGGAGACTAATAATAAATAAAATAATGACAAAAGACACGAGAACAAGTAACAAGAGAGAAACTCATTCCTGTCTTTCAATAGTTATGTTTCCATCCACCTATTTTTATGCACATAAAAAAACGGTTTATGGAAACACCATGATGCAAAAACAAAACAAAACAACGTATGCGCATAACTGAGTTGGATAAACGTTTTATTCGATAAGAAAAGATGAAAAATCACGATGGAAAACACGATACAAACTCCAGTATGTGCATTTAAAAAGGTCATGTGATTTTGTTATAAGAGATC